GACTATGTCCGGTCTTGGGGGGAGGTTGATCGGGCGGTTGAGCAGGTTAGGGATACTGGTGGTGGTGGTAGTGGTGGCGGGGAGGGAGCTAGGCTGAGGAATTTGGTCTTTTGGCCGGTTGAGTCGGGGAAGAGGGCGGATGTGAGTAGAGAGACGGTTGAGGAGTTTATGCGCCATGCGCCGGCGGAGGATCTGTTGGCGGTTTTGAAGGCTGAGCGGGTGAGATGGCATCCGGATAAGATTCAGCATCGGTATGGTGCCTTGGGGATTGATGAGACGGTTATGCGCAGTGTTACTGAGGTTTTTCAGATTATTGATCATCTGTGGAGTGAGATGAAAGGGCAGTCGTGAGCTGGTGTTGAGACTTGCATGGTGATGGCGTTCTGTGTTTACATATGATACCCTGATTGAGAATTGAACGCATATCTTTGGACCTTACTACTACTATTCATGCTGCGCCTGTTCATGATATTCGTGACAGGCGCATAATTGGCATTGAACGCTCCAAATTCGCATGGACTCGTGAAACTTTTGTTCGTCACAATATATTGGAATCTCCAAGTAACAACACGGCTATGCAATCACGTAGAAACAGAACACCATACTCAATTTTTTGGGGGTTTCTTTGTTTTTCCTGGATGTCTTCCCTCACCACCTCTTAGAACCTCGAGTATCTCTGCTTGTTCCGGTATACGGTGAACCCAATATAGCAGCCTGCAGCAACAGCCAAGAACAGAACAGCCTTGAACAGGAACCCGCTCCAGCTTCCCTTGCTCTTCTTGGTCTTCTTGACGCGACCGCTGTCGGTGCTTGGTCCACGGCTAGAGCGGCTGGACGGTCCGACGCTGTAAAGGTTCTGTGATTTCACCGAGACGATGTCTTGGTTGTCGCTCAGTTCACCGGTCTCGCCAGAGAAGCCCAGGTACGCGACGGATGGGATAGCGATGTTGGTCTCGGGTGCGGTCAGGGTGAAGCAGTTGGTCCAGCTGTCCTCAGACTTGTACTGCAAGTCGAGAGTCAACGACTTGTCCTGGAAGTACGTCAAGCGGGCCTTGGTGGGGATCGAAGCGCCTCGCAGACCACGAGCCTGATCTTGTTAGCACACCTCTGCGTTTACCCGGGTCTTGATGACTTACGGAACAACCAGCCAATTCATTGGCCTTGCCGTCATGCGCCTGGTCGTAGCTAGTCTGTCCGTCGCCCATCATAGCCATCACGTAAGGGAACGAGGTGCCGGGACGGTTGTTCTTGTAGGTGTCGAAGAAGATACCGAGACCCTCGAAGTTATCCGTTGAACCAAAGACAGGACCCTGCGTGGCGCGCTGCTTGGTGAGCCACATGGCAAAGCCATCGCCGTGCAGATTACCATTTCCATGAAGCTTGAATTCGAGCTCGATCTACACACTTGTCAGAACCGATTGTCGGTTACCATAGCGGACAGAATGAACTGACCTCCCAGTTTGTCGCAGTAAGGGGAACCCGGGAGAAGATCCATCCCTGCTGCGAGGGTCGATCGGCCGTAAGACGGATGTATCTGCCATTGTTCAGCCCTTGCTCCTCTGAGACCATCGTGTGGGTGGGGTTGGGTACTTGTCTGCGCGGATTATCGTGTCGCCACCAAAATCGAACCAGCGGCTTTGGAAGTCTGAATCCAGATATGGCTATCATTGCGTTAACAGGGCTGTGTCTAGAGCGCCGAAATCGACCTAGTCGAAATCGCTGTGAATGAGTTGGATGGGACCCACCGGAGCGAGACTGTGAGTGCGAAGCTATTGACCCGGTTAGTTAGTGCGCGATCGTTATACGGTCGACTGGGTGTGCGGGCGTACTGGAATGCTCTTGATGTTCTCATCGCCGTCGTAAGCATTGGCCACTGGCATAGTCGCCAGGCCGGCAAGACACAGGAGGGAAGAAAGCCGCGGGAGTAGCATTGTGAGGCAGGATTTGATAATGAGCTATAACAAGTGGCAGACACAAACGACCGTGAAAAGCAGGTAGGTTCTGATAGTTATGAATGACAGACTGCAGCTAACGAAATTGGGTTCCTTTCCACCAGCAAGGCGTAGATCAATGTCACCGGGACATGCACAAGCTCCGAGCTCAATTGCAGGAGACGGAGGACAAGGTCAATCGAACGGTAAGTCGACGACCGGAGAATAATAGAGAGAAATGTCAAAAAGAGAACGAAGGAGCGAAGAACGGAATGGAAGAAGAGCGGTGCCGAAGCAAACTGTCAGAAGGGACTCCCATGTAGACTGGTCAGAGATCGACGTCAGTAAACATGCAAACAAGTGTCCACATCGCAACTGTGGCGCAGTCAGCCCCGGCGAACGGACGTGCACCAGCCACACAGGCCGGCCATGGCCCGCGGACTTTGAGGTTCAGATCCTGTGGCCAGCCCCGTGACCTCAACAATTACTGTATCGCTGATTGACCTATCCTGCCAAAAACATTTTAATTCCGCCTCCACTTTCCTTCATATCACATCTCTACCCATCAGCACAATGGCGCTCTTCGGATCCGGCTCCAACAATGCTTCTGGCAACCCGCAGGAGGTCAAGACTGCCATCATCAAGCAGCTCCAGCAAGAGGCTGCCATGGCCAATGCTCGCAATCTGATCGGAGTATGCCCAGATTCTCCTTGCGGCCAGCGTCTAGTTTCTGACAACAGTATAGAAAGTGAATGAGCACTGCTTCGACGCCTGCATTCCCGCCCCCGGCTCCTCCATCACCCCCAAGGAAGAGACCTGTCTCTCTCAGTGCATGGAGAAGTACATCTCCTTCTGGAACACCGCCAGCCGTACCTACGTCTCTCGTGTCTCCCGCGAAAGCAAGCGTCTCGGCGGTGCTGAGAACCTCGCCATGATGGCCACCCCTACCGAGACCAGTCTGTAAATTAGCGTCGGGGTTTATAGGAAAATGGAAGCATTCTATAGATGGTAATCGGAAGCGCGATCGATTTCTCCAGTTTTTTATGGACGTCAGCCTGGGTGTCCCGCAAATTCTCTTGTCGCCTTTTCTCTCCTTTCATGATTTGGGGGGTGTATTGTTGGAATGGTGTACGATAACGGCGCACGTTTTGTGGTGGACTGGGGGTCCCCTATCAGATGGGTTGGAAGGCAACGGCAACGGATCCGTAGTGGCAGACAGGTGTCCACTGGTAGCCTGTCTGGAGCATTTTGGTAGATGCGGTATGCACAGATCCATAGCCTACTTTTATTGCATTTGAAAGATATGTACATTATACAGGTCTCTGAAAAAAGAACTGAACGAAGCAACCAAGTAGCATCCCAATACTTGCAACTATTATCAAACCATGACGCGAGAAACCAAACAGTCCAGTCGATGCAAGCGATCGACTCGGCGGAAGACCCCGGAGTAGAACCAACCCCGAAAGCACCTGATCCTTGTTCAAAACCAAACACAAGTACTGGAGATTTAGTTGCCTCGATGCTCGTGAAAGCGATCCATATCAATGGAGGCCGAGGTACGTGGAATGCGACAGCGCGAGAAGCCCGCGCCCGATATACAAAGGTAGATGCTCCAAAAAACGATGAAACAGAAATCCAAAGGTCAAGTCGGCCAGCGATCATCCAGACAATCGAACCGATCGAGGAGACAATGTGTAAAAGTAATAGCATGGTTGTCTTTTTCACGGCTGCTATTTCTGTGGCCTAGTCAATAGGGCTATAAGATAAGGCGTCACCCCCGCGTCTTTACATCGAGGTAGTCCATTGCCTTTACTCTAGACAGCTATGGTGAAATGATCATTTCATCATGACTCGTAGAAAAGTTAGAAGTCGGGGAACAAATGGCCGTGACTAGATTAAATTGTGATCGTCAGTAATGCGGAAAGAATACACCGAGCAAGTTGCACATACGGGTCTTCACCGCCTTGACCGTAGGCTTCCTGTTCTTCTGGATAGCGGTCATACTGGCTTGCATCACCTTGTCCTCCCCGGATCGGTGGTACATAGGGAGCATCGATGTCTTTCCTGGCCAGTCGGTCCCAGGTGACCTCGGCGAACCACGGATGATTCTTGACGTCTTCCGGACCACCATGCAAGTTACCCAGCCGCTTGGTTAGGTCTGCGGTGATCAGCTGGGACAGTAGATCCACAGCATCTGGGTGTAGGTACGGTGGGTATTTTACCCGACCCCGGAGAATGTTCTCATAGATCTTGACCGGCGATCCGCTGTCCCAGAAGGGTGTGAAGCCACACAGCATTTCGAAGATCAGGATTCCAAGGGACCACCTTTACCCTGTCAGTGGGGTTCCTTATCGGCGGGCTCCCACCAGGGGATCGGACAGGAAGACTTACCAGTCCACCGACTTGTTGTAACCCTTGGATGAAACAACCTCGGGAGCCAAATAATCGGGTGTGCCACACAGGGTCCAGGTGATGTCAGGCACCTCCTTTGCAAAACCAAAGTCGGTGATCTTCAGGTGGCCATGCCGGTCGAGGAGTAAATTCTCCGGCTTCAGATCTCGATAGATAATCTGGTGGGTGTGCAGATATTCCAGCGCCAGCGTGACTTCCGCGGCGTAGAACTTGGCCACGGGGTTAGGGAATCGCTAGACGGGGACCCCTCGGATCAGCGTACATGCTGGAGCAACGAAGACGGGGAGGATCACCCACCTGAGACTTGCGAAGCAGACTGAAGAGTTCACCTCCCTCGACAAAATCCATGACCATGTACAGATTTCGCGAATCCTGCCATGTGCCCCACAGGGTGATCAAGAACGGATGCCTGACGCGATTGAGCATTCGTCGTTCGTCATTAGTATGCTCAATCTGCTTCATCTTGACCACCTGGGCCTTCTTCAAGACTTTGATGGCATAGAAGCGGTGGTTGTGCTTTGACTGCACGAGATGGACTCGACCAAAGCTCCCGGTGCCCAACGTGCGCTGGAGGCTGAAATCTTCGAGAGAGTACTTGCCCTTGGTGGTTCGGTTTTGTGATTGTTGCGAACTGCCACCGACTGACTGGCTGCTCTGGTGGGAGGAATGAATTATGTTCTGTATACTGGCGACATTATGAGAGTTGGTGTGGTGGTGGCCATGGTGATGGTGGGCCGAGGGCGATTGCGTCACGGCGGATTGCATGGAGGATGGTTGACCCTCGGGGTGGCTTCGATTAGTGCCTGAAGAGCGATTGTGATGGTCGTGGGACGATTGGTGAGGTTGCGCAGAGGTATAAGCAGCGTCGGGGGAAGTGGCAGTAGTAGAGGGATGGGATTGGTGGCTGTGGTGATGCTGGTTTGGTGACGTCTGCGTCTGGGCCGCGGTGGGTGACGAACCGGCTTCAAGCTCTTTGCTGAGGGTCTGCGAATCCTTGGTCCGCCGTTTCTTCAATAAGCCTCCTAAGCTCGGCATGGAGAACTAAAAATGAAAAAAAGAAAAAGAAAAA